TGCCCCCTTGTCCTCTGTACATTTTTAAAGAAATAATCATTTGTGTAAAACTGTCTTAGACTGCAGAATTGCAGGTAAAAAAAGGTGCATTTATTTTTTTTCCCCCAGCAACCTTCTGAGTTATGCAGTAGATCGATGGGTGCAATGTCAGGTTCCTGCAGATGCTTACTAAAGCTTTCTGTCCATACCTCTATGTGGGATTTCTGTTTTAAAGCTGTAGGATGAGTCAATGAATTAAGAGAGCACTCATTTACACCCTCGCAGTTCATTGAGAACTACAAGCCTCCTGACACAATGACAGATGGTACTTGTAGTAGATTCCTGTAAATGAATGGCATGGCTGTGTGGACAGAGCCTCGCACAGTTGCACTGTTTTTTGAAATCTGACAGCGGATGTAGGGAAACATCTCCCACCTGCTGCCACAGAGAAGGAGGGGATCGGGGGTTTGGGTAGAGGTTGCTGAATATGTTACACACCAAATATGGGGTGTAACATGTAATATGTTCAGAAAGGGTAAATTATCTATTAAAGTCCTTAGTATGTATTGCAGAATTTCTGACGCATCCTGTAAAATCTCTGTATAACTTGGCAAAATAGATCTCAACTTGGCAAAATTAGATCTAGTAAGGTGTGTGTGTCATGTCCTTTTACCCCATGAGCCAGGTCAAAGCATCTCTAAAAGTTTGTAGAGCTGAAAATGTACATATATATTTTCTTTAAAGTATTTATACATTCCTACCAAGCAGTAATTAGCTTTAAAAAACCCTCCCTGACATTTGTAAAGACACTGTGAAGCAATTCCTCCTCAAGCTTCACAGCAGAAGCACTGAAATCTTCAAGTTGTTCTCTCAGCAGCTCAGCTCACACCTCTCCCTCCTGCTATCAGTTACGCAGCAGTGTTCCTGCCTTCTAATACGTATTAAAAACACAGTGCAAGCTTTTTGACAAGAACTTTCAGGGCACCTGCAGCAAGTTATGTCTGGAAATCCAGCCACCATTGTTTTGTTCCTGGCTATATGCCACAATTCATCTTTCTAACTGAAGTTCATTTTAGGTGATATTACTACAAGAGATTTTACCAGTCACAATAGACCCACAAATGTTCCACAGAAATGAGTCATTTGACAAGTCTTCATATTTTATACTACTATAATAAAGTTTTTGATAATAGAATGAGGCAATGGGGATCAGTTCTTAAGATTTAAGAACAAAATCTAGGTACCAAATATGGTACTTACTATTAAGTTCATTTCAGGAACAGTTGCAAAGAATAGGTAAGAATAAACTCTTCAAAGTAAACCTGTCACAAATTGTGGTACATCAACTTGAGCATGTGGTTAGAAACAGGAACACTCTCAAAACAATCAGTAGGTGCAAGAAAGAGGCAGCTGAAGTTGTATGTGAATTTTGTAACTTTTCCTGGAAAATGGAGCTATCTACCTCCTTCTGAACATCCTTAGTGGTTACTGAGGGCAGGCCATTCATCACATTGCAAGACAACAGGTAATATTGAATGTGGGAAATGGCAGGTTTGATTTTATCTGTAATATACATACACTGTATACCTTAGGGTACATGCACTTGGCTGTATCCTAGATTGTAAGCTCTAATGAGCAGGGCACTCTGTTTCCTCTTGTACCAAATTGTATTGTAACTGTAATGTCTACTTTCATTTTGTAAAGCGCTGCACAAACTGTTCGAGCTATACATCCTATATAATAATAATATCTTCCTGGCTGGCAGAACACAATGATTACTACTAGCGGCTATAGCCACTGGCAGTAATCACATGTAAAAAAATCAGACAGGCTGGTTGTACTCAAGTTAATTTATGGATCAACTTGAGTAAAGTCAGCCTGCCCATACATGGATCGAAATTCAGCCTGTCCCTGCAGCATGAATCAGGCAGCATGAATCAATCCACTGGAAACTGGGGACACAACGTATTTTCAGGTAAAGGAGGAAAGAGGAGGTGGCAGCTTTCCAACCACAGAAAGATAATGTCAATGCATTATGACTCCATATATATTTTTTGCTATTCCTGACATGTGTATGTTATTATCTGGAACACATACTGTGAACACCAATTTATATCTATTAAAAATACAAAACAACTCAGAACAGAACAAAAGAACACCAAAACACTACCTTCCTATATCTACACTGATCTGCCAGAAATACACTCATCAACCAATAAGAAATTAGGAGCTAACACATTTTTGTGGACTGAGTGTTGTCAGCCCAATCCTCTCTCTTTCCTGGCATGCAGGATAGAATAAACAGCTCCCTACTGCTGTGCCAACTTTACAAAGAGCCACAAGCAACTTTTATTCATTCCTGCTGCGTGCCTACAGTGGCTTTGGTCCCAGGCCTTTAACTGCTATAGCTGTCTTGGTTTTTTGAGTACTTGAGCCCTTGCCTGAGCCTTATGTTGCCTTAGCACCACATGGTCCCAACATGTCTGAATCAAGACTCCAGGGGTAACAGTCCCTCTGTACCAGTTGCCGCCAGTTTCATAGCTACTTGCAGCATACCCACTGGTATTTGTGTTCTAGAAACTATCCCATCCTGTTCTTCCTTAGCTGTAACAAGTATGGCTATTTACTCTATCCTCTTGGCTGAGATTTTAACTAGTCATGCAAGACTTTATAATACGCCTGAATTTCCTGGCTGTACCAATTTCCTACTGACCGTACCAATCCAGGACCTTTTATAGGCCAAGTTCCTGCCTGCATTAAAGATAATTATTAAGAGGTCGTACAATAAATTACTGTATCACCCAGTAAATGGTCTCCATTCAGTAGCCAAAAAAGGCATACAAAAAAAGAGAGGTTGTGAAAAGAAATTCACAAAGAAAGCGGCTACATTATGAACAGAATGTGATACTCAGAAAAATTTCCAAAAATTATGCTTTATTACACATACAAATTTGACATATGGGCAATCGCCCTGGTTTACCATCACCTCAGTATGAGACAATACACACAGACCTAAAACCATATAAAATGACACCAGTACCTGTCTAAATACCTGTGCAAAAAGGAAAATGACTACAAGAGTCTAAAGTCCCTGTGGCACTGGCACATAGGTGAACACTTCCCAAAGGAGGTGTATACAAAAAATTATACCATAGGTATACCATAACACGTGTTATAAATATGTAGACTATGCTACTACCAGAGTGGTTATATCCCAAACAGGGAGTTTCAAAAAATTATACCATAGATATAAATATCACATGTATGCAGTACGGCAAGCACAGTATGCGTTGCCTCAAGGCCTATATGAAGCAAAACATAAATGTCATGTAAATAATGCAGACATTCCTATGCTGGCACAAGTGGTTGGGGCCCATTCATCTGTGATTATTACCAGCTGTTTCCTAGGGCTCTTGAAAAAATATGCCCCCAGGATGGAAGGGTAGATGCATAAAGCAGCGCACTGCTTGAAATGGACCACCACTATATGTGGACTACATTTTCTGTGAGGACCATCCCAATAGATCTTCTCCTGTTGAAAGTTCCTGCCTGCACCTGGACAATACTTTGGCTGTTTTGACTATATCTCTGCCTGCTGCCTGTAATGACCAAATACTTTTTATGGGCCTTGTTCCAGTCTGCTGTCTGGACAAATACTTGACTTTTCTGACCATATATCGACCTGCTGTCTGTAATGACCCAAGTCCTTTTTTGGACCATGTTCCTGTCTGCTACCTGGACCAATACTTTGGCTGTGCTGACCATATCTCTGCCTGCTGCCTGTACTGACCCAGGATTTTTATGGACATGTTCCTGTCTGCTGCCTGGATGTCAGCCTGCTGCCTGTGCTGACCCTGACATGTTTATGGACCATATTCCTGTCTGCTGCCTGGAAAATTCCTTAATTTGTTGCTGACCACGTCTCTGCCTGTTTCCTGGACCAATGCTCTCCTCAAACTACAGGTAATCTTTTGTTTACCCATTGTTCAGCCTCTTATACTTACTGCACAGTGAATATAGCATTGTGCTATGGGGGCAGCCACATACCAGTAGGTTAGTCTTGCTTAGCTTTTATGAACAGGACCTGCTGTAAGTGAAGCTACGCTATGCTATATTCACTGACCGGTCTTACAGGGGTGACCATTAATTACCACCGGATCTCTGAGGTGTTTTCCCTTCATTCTCATTGGATTTTTTGATGCCTTTTTCTTTTGGATTTCTGGAAGCACTACTTGCACATTTTGTGGACTCTTTATAATACTGGAGCACCATTATCTGTTTACACTATATTGCCAAAATTATTGGGACATCTGCCTTTACATACACATGAACTTTAATGGCATCCCCGTCTTAGTTTGTAGGATTCCATATTGAGTTGGCCCACCCTTTGCAGCTATAAAAGCTTCAACTCTTCTGGGAAGGCTGTCCAAAAGGCTTAGCAGTGTGTCTTTGGGAATGTTTGATCATTCTTTCAGAAGGGCATTTGTGAGGTCAGGCACTGATGTCAGATGAGAAGGCCTGACTCACAGTTTCCGCTCTAATTCATCCCAAAGGTGTTCTTTTGTTTGAGGTCAGGACTCTGTGCAGGCCAGTCAAGTTCCTCCACCCCAAACTCGCTCATCCATGTCTTTATGGACCTTGCTTTGTGCACAGTCATGTTGGAACAGGAAGGGGCCAGCCCCAAACTGTTCCCATAAAGTTGGGAGCATGAAATTGTCCAAAATGTCTTGGTATGCTGATGCCTTAAGAGTTCCCTTCACTGGAACTAAGGAGCCAAGCCCAACCCCTGAAAAACAACCCCACACCATAATTCCCCCTCCACCCAACCTTACACTTGGTACAATGCAGTCAGGCAAGTACAGTTCTCCTGGCAACCGCCAAACCCAGACTTGTTCATCGGATTGCCAGACAGAGAAGCGTGATTCATCATTCCAGCGAACACATCTCCACTGCTCTAGAGTCCAGTGGAGGTGTGCTTTCCACAACTGCATCAGATGCTTTGCATTGCATTTGGTGATGTAAGGCTTGGATGTAGCTGCTCAGCCATGGAAACCCATTCCATGAAGCATTTATATGCACTGTTGCTGTGCTAATCTGAAGGCCACACAAAGTTTGGAGGTCTTTAGCTATTGACAGTTGGCGACTTCTGTACACTGTGCACCTCAGCATGCGGTTTAGCTATTGACAGTTGATGACTTCTGCGCACTGTGCAGTTCAGCATGCGCTGACCCCGCTCTGTTATTTTACATGGTCTACCACTTCATGGCTGAATTGCTGTTGTTCTCAGTTTCTTCCACTTTGTTATAATACCACGAACAGTTGGAATATTTATCAGCAAGGAAATTTCATGGATGGACTTATTGCACAGGTGACAACCTATCACGGAACCACACTTGAATTCACTGAGCTCCTGAGAGGAACCAATTCTTTCACAAATGTTTGTAGAAGCAGTCTGCATGACTAGGTGCTTGATTTTATACACCTGTGGCCATGGAGGTGATTGGAACACCTGAATCCAATTGGTGGGGTGTGTCCCAATACTTTTGGCAATATAGTGCATGTTGGACTTTTTTAAATCACCCTTTTTATTTTTTCACCTACCATTGTGTATAGATTAGCACTGCACTTTTTGAATAAATACAATACCCACAACACATAAACTGATCAAACGGTGAGTTTAACAAAAATTAGTATGGTTAATATAGTGCTTTGATATTATGTCTAGTTTGCTAATTTAATTATCTCATTGTTGCATTGATTAATATACTTGGGCATTTTTAAAAGTCAGTAAGCATCAGATACGGGTGCGAGAAAAGGTAATAGCAGTGAAAGAGTAATTTAAGTTGCACTGAATGCACCATGCCATAAGAGAGACATTGCTTGCCATGTTTTTAGTGTGCTGCAGCAAACTAAAGGGTCTGCTAACAGAGCACTATAATGAAATATGGGGGTTTACAGTGGTGGAGGAAAAAAATACCCTAGTGTCAGAAGTATCAGTGGAGGAAACAATGCTGCAGCAACAGTAGTTTCAGTAATAGGAAAAAATGCTGCAGCTTTAAAGGTGTCAGTGGAAGGGAAACCGTGCAGCACCAGTGGTGTCAGTAGGAGGATCTATGTAATGTACCATGCAGTATATATAGTGTTTATTATTCCCTGTAACAGCGGCCATTTGGGGGATATAAAATGTCCTGGCAGCAGGGATCTTGGAGTAAAGGACATTTGTGGATGGTTGACAACACTGAATACATGCAAATGTTTTTTTTTTTTTTTTCCCCTAAAGCGCCACATCTCTGTATAGGTTGGCCTAAGATGTGCTGCTTTAGGAAAAAAAGCAAAGGAAAAATGTATGCATATAGACTGAAGGAGATCTATAGGAAACACACATTGACCATCAATAGCTGAGGCAGTGAGGCTGAGCTCCTCCTACATAGACATAACTACTGTACAGTTTAAAGCTGTTATATAGTAAAAGGATGCTCATGTTGTTTTCAAGTAACCATTCCATGCTGTGAGGATAATGTCTTTTTGGCACCAAGACTTGGCCAACATGGAAATATGCAGAAGTAGGTAGAACAGCTACAAGAGAAGCAGTCTTCCCTCCCTCCAGTGATGAAGCTGGCAAACTGGGAATATATTTCACTATCATGACTCTGCAGAATGAACCTGATGCCCTGAGCTCAGCTGATCACGAATTAGCTGACTTTGGAACTGCACATGTACAGTGCATAAAACAACCACACACTTCTACTGGGAGGGGACACTTCTACCGCTTCTGCCCATGGACATTCATGGATGAGAGCAACAGCCACTGATTTTTACAAATTGTACATAAATTAACAGGCAATTGGCAACCCTGGTTGCAGATCCAATTTAAATATGTCAACAGTGCACAATTTAATTACTTTTTGTACCCAAAAGAACTTGTAAGACAGAGAATAAAGAAATAACCCACAGAAATGAACGTAAATAAAACAGATCAATTTGTTGTGCCGCCGATTTCCATTCACCAAAGTAAACAGTTCCTTGGGCTGCCTTGAGAATATGGAGTCCTTAACAAGCAAGTTTGAATTGGCCCTCATTTTTCATGTTATTTTTCAAATTGCATACTCTGATAACATCACTTTATCATGGTCGGTTAAGGGCTATTTGCTTCCAATCCTGTGCCTCACTTTCCCATCTGAGTTTTAACAAGGTTGTGTTTGCACATTTACTGTGGCTGATGAGAAGTGCACAGCACAGGTGGCTTCGGATTGTTATTTATGAGTGTACTCCTGGCCATTAATAACACAATAGAACCAGAAATAATCAAACACACAGTCTGGCAGCTAAGGACATTCTGCTGTAAGGGTAATGCATTTTAAATGGTGACTCTATTAAATCCACCTCTGACTTTTTTTTCAGCTCCTTTCCTTTTTTTAACCTTCAATCACCCTGCTGTGTAATTATTTCCAAATTCCTATACAGCTTTCATCTTTATTTTTCCTGTCTGAGCTTTTAAATTTTCCTCTCGTATTTCTAATCACTGGAAGCACTGTCTTTTTTTTTCTTTCCCTTTAGTATACAGTTGGTCACATCATGCACATTGTTCGTTCTTTGTACCAATCAATTCAAAATGATTTTCTGTCATTGTCATTCAAGCTGCAAATCAAATCTGACCTTGAGTGTTTAATGAAAAGAGCCCCTGAGTGAGGATGTCATACTGTGCTTATAAATCTTATAGAAAAGAAAAATGTAAACTGAACTTTATGTACTTAAACTGTCAACAGTATAACACAACGGCATTAAAATATACATATTTATATCTTACATTTTACTTGGTTTAAAATGATCACTTAAAGTACGCAGTATAGCGGTACAATGCAAGCTTGTCAGTAGTATTTTTCGCAAGCACCACCAGAGAGCACTCATGTCTAAGAAAACTGGCCCCATCAGCTTTTTTGAAAAGTAACAGACTATTTTAGTATAACATTTACTTCTTTTATAGGCTTCATTCTGCTAGACAGTGAGCTACACTGAGTAACCAGAGGTCACAAATGTGAGCAGATACATGTAGAATCTAAAGCACTGCATTAATTAAACTGAACGGTAACATTAAAGTGATCCAAGCATTGCTTAAAGTCGAGCTATGGCCTCCCATGAAAAAAATGTGCTGCAGCACTTAATAGTAAGTACATCTATGCAAATGGTTTTCTCTTTTCCCTCTACAAAGTCCCACAAATACCCATTGATCCTGACAGTGAAGTTCACCTAATGCAGCTTCTTGTGATGGTGAGATAATGATGCTGCACTGATCCTGATCTCAGAGCAGAGTTGCCACTTTTATGTGGGCTAAGCCTTCTTACATTGCAGTAGGATGAAAAATGTGGCAGGGGGTGTTGCCACCACTGAGCCTGTAGCTTTTCAATCACCACCTGGCAACACTGCCCATTGCCTTCTGGATTGACAGCACCATTTCTGCTATTGAAACTCCCATTGTGAGCTGCAGTGGAGGAACATGTGATATACAAGTAATAAGAATTTGGCTTAGTGCCCCAGGACATGCAGGGAAGAAGTCCCTGCACTACTTGGGAAAACACATCTTGCACAGAACCGAGGTTCCCAGCACGGTTGCGATTTCCAGTGCTGGCAACGTTCCATTAGAATTAATGACACCCGCCTACGGGTCCAGCAATACTATGTGTAGGTTGTTGCGGCTGCAGGTATTTGTGCGGGTCCTGCATTCCTTTGTGTAGGTTGTTCCGGCTGCAGGTATTTGTGCGGGTCCTGCATTCCTATGTGTAGGTTGTTGAGGCTGCAGGTATCTGTGCGGGTCCTGCATTCCTATGTGTAGGTTGTTGAGGCTGCAGGTATCTGTGCGGGTCCTGCATTCCTATGTGTAGGTTGTTGAGGCTGCAGGTATCTGTGCGGGTCCTGCATTCCTATGTGTAGGTTGTTGCTGCTGCAGGTATTTGCGCGGGTCCTGCATTCCTATGTGTAGGTTGTTGCTGCTGCAGGTATTTGAGCGGGTCCTGCATTCCTTTGTGTAGGTTGTTGAGGCTGCAGGTATCTGTGCGGGTCCTGCATTCCTTTGTGTAGGTTGTGGCGGCTGCAGGTATTTGTGCGGGTCCTGCATTCCTATGTGTAGGTTGTTGCTGCTGCAGGTATTTGTGCGGGTCCTGCATTCCTTTGTATAGGTTGTTGCGGATGCAGGTATTTGTGCGGGTCCTGCATTCTTTTGGGTAGGTTATTGAGGCTGCAGGTATTTGTGCGGGTCCTGCATTCCTTTGGGTAGGTTGTTGAGGCTGCAGGTATTTGTGCGGGTCCTGCATTCCTTTGGGTAGGTTGTTGAGGCTGCAGGTATTTGTGCGGGTCCTGCATTCCTTTGTGTAGGTTGTTGCGGCTGCAGGTATTTGTGCGGGTCCTGCATTCCTTTGTGTAGGTTGTTGCTGCAGGTATTTGTGCGGGTCCTGTATTTTTTTGTGTAAGTTGTTGCTGCTGCAGGTATTTGTGCGGGTCCTGCATTCCATGTTCGTGTGTACAGTGGGAGACCAGATATAGTTAATGCAGGGTCATGGGTTTAGTAACACTTTAAAGACTCCAGATCTGCATCTAACTTGTATAGTGTAATGGACCTGGAATCGGTAACATTGTAAATAGAATCTCCAGCTGGCTAGTAGATTTCTCTTTGTATTCTTGTATTATTGCATGCCTCTGCACATCTTTCCAGACCTCTGTGCATCCTCTTAAGAGAGTTGCCAGCTTCAAGCCTCTTCCTTGCTCCTTTCTCCAGCAGAGTCCTTCCCAATCCTGGATCAGTTTCCTCCTCAACATGGCAGGAGAGCTTCTGAGAATCACTTCTGCCCTTCACTTCTGGTCTAACACATCAGATAACTTAGCAGTACCTCCCCAGTCTGAAATCCAAGGAAATAGACTCTTACAACAGTCAACCCAAATATTTATGCTCTGCCCCCGAATACACCACTGGAAATATACCTCCTAGTATTATGCGACGAGCAATGTAAAAATATTCATGAACCTGCATTACTGTGATCTCTCACTCTAATGCCAGGGATACCAGTGACACCAGTGACACCAGTGGCAGGAACACCAGCATAACCGAGATCTGTATTAACAGAAAAATGCAGCTGTAAGCACCAGTATATAAGCCAGACACAACTGGAAGCCAGTTTCCAGAGGACCTGTCCAACCCAAACAAGCAGTCCATCAAAAGGAGATATGGAAGTGCACACTGGGAAACTGGCAGCAGGAAGGAGTCAACACCTGGAGTGGAGTAGTTCACAACTGTGAGAAAGTGTGGACAATCTGGTGACTGGGACTTTGTTTTGCTGAGCTCCTGCAGCTTGTCTTGCACCCCAAAACAGACAGGAACCCTAAACCCACGTGTGGGACCAAGATACTGGTAGTGAGCCATTTTGTGGTACTAATTATACCAGGACTGTATACTGTTTGCCTTTATTT